TTCATGATTCCAGCTTGGACACCGCCAGTAAACATTTTCTGAGGCCCTTTCTGCACCCAGCGGACAGATCCCTGCCTCAAGATGCCTGCGGTCTAGTGGTTGGGTTCTGCGGGACCAGCGCCCCTGGGAGAGCGTCACCTTGAGTGAGGCGTGAAGGTTGAGTTGGGTTTCAACAGAAGGAAAAGGTGGGCTAGGGCGTTCTGGGGGGTGGTGGTGGTGGTGCGTGTTACAGAGCAGGGGTGTTAAGGACCAAAATATGCCCAGAATTTGCTTGGCGCTCTCCGTTTGGGATCTTATATTCTTGAGTGCTCCGATTCTAACGCGATGTGCAGTCTTTCGGCCTCCACAGGAAGCCCCTGAAAACAGAGAGGCTGCATTGGGGTGTTGGGGTGGGGGACTGAGGGCTGAAGGCTGGGCAAGAGTGGGACTCAGCTAGGCTGGGTACCCGGAGCATTTCTAGCCTGGCCGGTGCCACACAGTGACAGCTGCTGCAGTGCTGCCTGTGGGGAGTCAGATGGAGTCATCTCTCCCTTCCCACCTCCCGTAACCCTCTCCCAGCTGCCTGTGTCTGCTGGCAGTCCCACCAGGAGCTACTCTTTGGGAGGGCTTCCTGTTATGTATTCATAGGTCCAGGGGGCAGATGGCGTCTCACACCATAAGCCAGTTACTGTGGGGACACAGTGGGGGACGCTCTGATGGAGGAGTAGAAGGATGGAGGAGGGCACTTGGTGAGTGTGAGAGAGGAAGAGGGGGGTGAAGGGGGTTGGTGCTGTTGGGTAAACTCCACGAGGCTGCCTCAAGCTAGAACCTTAGAACCGGTGGTTGCCCTGTAGCCCAGGGTCACCCATCCCTCTTGCTGAACCAGTGAGGAGTGGACACCGGTAAGGGAGCCATCCAGGGTCACTGGAGAGTCAGGGATGGAGCTGGGACCCACCCAGGTTTAGCAAGGTTCGTCCAGGCCTGGACCCACAGCCCCGCACCTGTGAGAGGATCACCTTCAGCCAGATTCTGCTTTTCCTGGGACCTCCTGGGGCTCTCGTCTGCAGCTCCTCCCAGGGGCAGAAATAGCTGCGGGGCTCCAGGTCCTGTTCCTGTTTGTAATCTGGCAGTTTGGTCAGGGAGGGGCTTCAGCCTGAGGCTTGCAGGAGGCAGAGGAAGCAGGCCCAGGGAGTGAGGAGGCATAGGCCCTTCTCTGGGAAAAAAAGATTCCAAAACCCCCAAACCACTCCATGTCCCAGGGCTGACTCTAATGCCATGGAATCAGGGGACCCCCTTGGGCCATCGTTCCTGGTGCCCTCACTTACCTGCAACTTGCTGTGGCTCCAGCAGCTGCCCTGGTGGCTTTGCCCCTGCTGTGGCTGGTGCTGGCTCTGGACTCTGTTGCCAGTGGGGGGGGGCAGGTGTGGGCAGGCACCACCTGGCTCTGTCCCGGAGGAGGGGCCGTTAGGAGCCAGGCCAATTCCCCCTTTCCCTGGGGAGGAGGGGGGAGGAGGGCACCTAGCTCTTGGTGCCTGGGACTTGGGGGCCATGGCCACTCCCTTTTTCCTTCTGCTCAGGCTCCAGGTTCCCAGGGGGTGGGAGGAGGCACCAGAACCCACAGGGGGTAGATTAAAGGTTGGTGAAAAGAGTGGATGTCTAGGAGTGGGGAGACCTGGGTTGGGCCTGGCTATGCCCGGCAGGCTGGTGTCTTCCCATTTGGGTCTCACTTTTCTTATCTGTAAATGACAGAGTTGAGGTCAGTGGTCTCTTAGCTGCCATCCTGGATTCCATGATGCTGACCGGCATGCTCAGCTGGGCTGTCTCCACCCTGGAGAGAACTTCCGACTCTGTCACCTTTGAGCTGAAGTCCCTGATTCTGAGGGTACCCCCACACCCTGCTGACCCTCCTAGACACAGGGTCCTCCTCTGAGCACCTCCCTCCTCGGCCCTTCCCCTCCCCACTTCCGGCTGCCCCTCTGTGCTCCTTTCCGTCCTGAGAGGGGCCCTCTCAGCTGGCCTTCCTCCCTCCCGTGTGCTGACCGGGAACCAGGATACCTGGCTTTGGCCTCGGCTCTGCCACGTGCTGTATGACCCCAAGCTAGAAACCAACCCTCTCTGAGCCTAGGAATTGGGCTGGGAGGCCCACTGGGCTCCAGCATTCAGGCCAGGTCACATCCAGACCCCCAGTTTGGAGGGTTCGTCAGGACCTGGGCTCTGTGCCTCTGGTTCCAGCTCTTGAAAGGCCCTCCCTTGTCATGATGTCAGAGTAGAAAGTCCTGGGCCTTCATCTAATACTAGGGTGAGTGGGGAGCATTTTGCAATAGTAAGAAGTGTAAGAGAACTGTTGAAATTTTGATAAAAGATAGAAGACTGTTCTGTATTCAGTGAAAAAAAACACAAAATTTCATTCAGGTAAAAGGAAAAGCAGGAAAATGAGTACATTTCAAAATAAAAGTTTTCCCTCTCTCCTGCTACTATTTTGGAGGGTGTGCCTCCTGACCACATCCCCCACCCCACCCCCACTGCTTCTGCTGTGCTTCCCATCACACCCTCTTCCCTTATGTGGTTCAGGATTCCCAGGGAACTAGGGGGAATCATGGGTGTCCCAGAGTAAGGAGAAATAGCCATGCTCTGCTGGGCAATGACAGTTCAGCACCTTGGCCAGCACTCCATCTCCTCCAGGCCCCCCACACCACCCCCTTGTCCCCAGCCCTTGCATTTAAGCCTGTGACATGGTCCTTTGCAACTGACCTCCTGGAGGAATGTTTGGGAACAGTGACCAGAGCTCGGACCCAGACAGGAGGGAATGCTACCCAGGTGTGAGCAGTCAGCCTCCTGGGATGGCCTCTCTGGCAGGAGGGAAGGCTGGTCCCCAGAGCCCCTGAGCCAAGCTCTGTGCTGCCAAGAGACCTTATCTCTGTTGTTTTCTGTACCTGCTGCCACCCCAGAGAGAAGGATCCGGAGTTAATGGCCTTGTTAGGCGCTGAGCGGGCCAAGCCCTGAGACTAACAGGTTTACAGAATCTTGACCCATCAGAGCCCGGACCTTGGTTATCAGTTAACTAAATCCCTAGCCCCTCCCCAATAGAGATGGGGAAACTGAGGCCCAGAGAGAGAGGGGACCTGCTCAGCTTCACATAGTGCCTTCATGAGTCCACCCCTGACCCTGGAGGCACATGAGGCTTGGCTTGCAGTTGAGGCTTGACTTGCAATTGCACAGGGTGTGGAGCATGGGCTAAGCTCCCACTTTGAATCCAGGGCATCACAGTTCTGCAGGATGCTTCCTGCCACTGAAGTGGTCCTCAGAATTGGGAGGCATGTCCAGGGAGGTCCAGTGAAGAGTTCAGCTTTAGCTTTGGATGGGCCTGGGTCTGACTTCTAGCTCTGCTGAATACTGGCTGTGGGTCCCCTGGGAAGTAATGTTTTTCCACTCAGACACTGAGATAATGATACCAACTTCATGGGCTTGGCTTAAAGAGTACCAGTGCTTTGCCTGACCACAAACAGGGATCCAAATGGGGTTACTGTCGTCCTATCCATTGCCCTGGGTAAGATCTTTGCTGATCCCTCTTCCCTCCCCAAGATTGGGCTGCCTTTGCCTCTCCTCTTTGCTTATCTGTGTTAAATGTGGGGTTCAGCCTGACAACCCCAGATGCCTTCATTCAGGAATTCTCTGGACTTTTGACCTCTTGGAGGTGCCCCAACTTCCAGGATCCCCTAGTTGGGTGTGCAAATTAAGCCCCTACAATACTCCAACACTTGAAACTGGGAGTGAAGACTGGGAGTGAAGCATTTCTTGGATCTGGTGTGGAGGCTGAGCAGAGAGAAGGGAAGGACCTTGGAGGGGTGCTTCTCCCCCACCAGACAGATGCACTGAACAAAGATGGAGGGGTGTGGTTTTGGGAGTCACAGGGATCTAAGAGCACAAGGTGGGGTGGGGGAGGTTGGGGATACTCATCTCAGAATCAGCCCCCCAATCTTTCTGCCCCTGCCAACAGCCCCTCCCAATCCTTGTTCATGCAGCTCTTTCTAGAATCCCAAACAAGTCAATGACTGGGGTGGTTCCCTCTCTCCTCTCCCCACCTCCAGGTGTAGGTGAAGATCTACCTGGTGCCTCACAGAGCATCCAGTCTAACTTCTCTCACTCTGCCGGTGAGAAGAGGAGGAAAGGACCTTCAGGGTACAAAGTGGGTCACCACAGAATAAGAGTAGGCCCAGGACTCCTGTCTCCCAGGCTGCTGCACTGCACAGCTGCAGGGGCCCAGGGGCCTTTCCACGTAGTGTGCACAGCCTATGTCCACATGCAGGGCTCTGCCTGACTCCTGGCCAGGCTGCTTCCCCATCAGTCAGAGGTAGAATGCATCTGCTTCTACACGGCAGACCTGGGGACCAGGAAAGTGGGGTCCCACACCCCACATAAGGCACAAGTAGGAAAATAGACTCCTTAGGGTCAGAGCCAGCCCAGAGGTTCAGAAAACTCACAGTTCCAGGCATGGGCTCTGGGAGACAGCTGAGTGAGAGGCAGGGCCTCCCTAAGTGCATTGCACTTTGCAGCTTACTGATAAATCATGAGACTGGGTTATTACCCCCATTCCCATGTAGAAAAACAGACCCAGAGACATTAAATCATTTCTCTAAAGTCACACAGTGATGGAGCCTGGATTCAAGCCCAGGTCTGTGGGATTCCAGAGACCAGGTTCTTGCCTTTGTTTCATGAGTTATGCTCTGCTTCCAAGTCTACCCCCACCCTCTTTCCTGGCAAAGACTGCCAGTCTTCCCTGACTAGTGTGGTGTGAGTAGTGGTTTCAGAACTCAGTTCCAATCCATGCTCCATTACTTACCCGTGTGGGACCTGTAGGTGAGTCATGTCTTCTTTCTTAACCTCATATTCCCACTTCTGTAAAATGGGCATACTACTATCTACCCAGTAGAGTGCTTTGTGGATTAGCCATGCTAATGTATGCAGACTGTCTGAAACATAATAAGTAGGCCTTTTTGTTTGTCAAAATGAATGAAATGGACCACTGATAACCTGTAACTTTAATTTAATACAAATTCATCATAACTCACAAAATGGGCAACATTTAAATTAAAAATACTGCTGGGGGTGGCCCAGATTCTGGTAGATGAAGGAGTGGAGCAAGACTGAGGATTCGTCCTGTCCAGAGGAAGCCCCAATGGGCAGAAGTTGTGAGGTGAGAGCCCCCCAAGTTCAGCTAGTCTGGTTCCTTTGGGATGGGTGTGGTCAGAGACTCCAGGTTCAGAATCTAGGCCCCAGGACTAGAAAGAAAAGCCAGGGCTGGAGAGACATTTCAGCTTGGTCCTGCAGGTCCATCTTCAGGGCTCCTGCCCCTGGGCAGGGACAAAGCTAGAGCAGGAAACCTGGGGGCTCTGCTGCTTCAAAGCAAGGCCTGGAGGTAGACTCCAGTGGCAAAAAACAAGGATGGACTTGTTCAACATCCATTTTAACTTCCTTCTGGTGGGACTTTTTGTATGGCTGAGACTGGAAAGAAGAAAACTACATTTCCCAGACTCCCTTGCACCCAAGGTTTGGATCTGATTTACAACTCCCCAAACAGAATCCCTCATAGAGACCTGGATTTGGGAATTGAATTGAGTGGGAGAGAGGCAGGTCTCAGAACATCCATTTGCTGGCACGTAGCAAAGAGAGCACAGTTCTGCAGTCAGCAGCTCCCTGAAGCAGTGGCTTCCTGCATACAGGAGCTGCGTTCCTGGTCAAGAAAGACATGATGAATCTCACAGCTGGGAGCTGTTCCTGGAAATTCAGTAAAGAGTCTGCTCCTCCAGCCCTTCCAATAATTTTGCAAAGCCATCAGGGACCAGGTAGTAAATCCTGTCTAATTAACTACAGCAGCTCTTGTTTTGTGCAACGGGATCTTAACGTAGATAGATGCCAAACCTGAAAAGAGGTCCCAGCCAACAGCCCATTCCAGCACTCAGGTCCTGATGAAAACGGCTGCTCCCCACAGCCTCCCCCAACCCCTAGCCTGGTCACAGAGGTCTGGCTGGACCCTTCTCCAAGCCTCCTCATCCGGGGATGCTTGCCCTGCAGCTGCCTTTAGACCTACAGGCAGGAAGGTGGTGGCACAGTGACTGCAACATGTGGGCTCAACTACTGGGTGCCTTCCACAGGCCACAGCACTGTCTCTACCTGCAGGGAAGCAGGAAAAGCAGGAACCATAAAGCTCTTGGTCCAAAGGTGGAAGGAGAGGGTGGTTCTGAGGCCACACTTGGTCCAGCTGTGTGGCCACAGAGTGTCCACTGTGGACTGGGGTCAAGGGTAAAATGGCCCATCACTAGCTTGGTCAGGGTCAGTCTTAGGCCTGGGAGCCCAAGAGGGTTCTGAGTATCTTTCAAGCTGCCAGTTGCTGGCAACACACTCTGACATATCCTGAGGTTAGGGCATGTGGGCAGGAGGGGGTATAGGGAGGCAGTCCCCTGCCCCTGAGAAGATGGGGATGAGGGTTGGGCAGGGGCTGCCCTGAGGAGAAGCCATGTCACACTCCTGGACCAAAGATGCATCCCCATCAAGGTCAGAGCTACAGAACATCAATGCTGGAAGCGGATTTAGGAATCATGGAGCACAACCTCCATTTTACACAAGGAAAGGGAGGCTGAAGGGTAGACAGCCACCTGGGATCTCAGGCCGGCTGGGCTGGGCTGGGCTGGAGTCCAGGCCTCCTGTCTCCCGGGCAGGACCCTTGCTGGCGGCCACGGCCCTGGGCCTGCGGTGTCCTTCGGCTGCATCAGATGCGGACGGTGTTGATCCGCAAGGGCTGCACATTCTTGCCATTGGCGTGGCTCTGCCCGGGGCTGAAGTAGGAACAGAGCTTTCCCGGGAACTTCTCGCGGAAGGTGTAGAGCCAGGACATGTCGTCGGCGTTGTAGAAGATGAGCAGGCCTTGGTCGTAGTCCAGGAAGACGCCCACCTTGTCAAGCTTGTCCCGGACGTTCAGCCGCGTCCAGGGCTCCGTGCAGGCGCTGTACTGGTTGCCGTCGTGCATGACGATGCAGTAGAAGCCGCGGCTGGGCTGGATCTGGATGCTGCCCTTGCGGCTCGCGGCCTCGTGGGCCAGCCCGATCACCCACTGCGTCTTCTCGGCCACCACCACCTCCCAGTAGTGGACACCGCCGCTGAAGGCCTCGGAGCCCAGCACCGACACCTCCACGTCAAAGCGCTTGGGTGAGTCCTGCAGCGGCTGTGGGTGCAGGTTGCCGTAGGCCACGATGGTGCAGTCGTCGGACAGGATCAGGCGCTGGTGGGCGGTGCCCGGGTCCAGGGTCAGGGCAGCTGGCACTGCAGGGGATGGAGAAGGGAGATATGAGTGGAGAGCAGACTGGACACATTCTGCAGTACCTCCCTGGGGGTCAGGTTCTGGTTGGTCCCCAGGAGGCTGTGATGCTGAATACAAGCCTCCCTGGGCCGCAGCTGCTTCTGTAAAGTGGAAGGGTGAGGGCTGAGGTCCTTCCAGATGTCAGCTTGGCTCGGGAGCAGGAGCTACGGCTGCTCATTCAGGGCTGATGCCTGGGGCAAGGCATAGAGTAGGCATGCCACATAAGTTTGTTGACTAAACTAGAATCAGGTCCAGAATTAGAGAATTTTAGAGCTGGGAGGGAGCTGAAAGATCATCCGAGGGCAGGATAATCCCGCTAGGGAGTGATCTGGAAATTTGTGGGGGGTGTTTGGATCGTCTCAAAGATGGGATACAGGGGTTTTAAATGCCCTGAATGAAAAGCACAGGGCAGTCCCAGGCCACCCCACCAATATTTTTCAAATGTTCCACCGGACAATACTTTTCATACAGTTTTAATATATACTGAGTATTTTGGAATGCAACCACCATGCAGACTGAGGAAAGACTAAATTTGTTCTGTTTGAAACATCACAGAATTGTTCACGTTTTTGGAAGCTACATCTCTAAGGACAATGCCACTGACTGACACAGCCTACCTGTTCAATCTGCATTTGAGGCAGGATGGTGTTTTATCTGACTTCTCCATCATATTTTCTAGTGTGGGTGTGAGTGAACATCTACACAGTGACATACACAATATTTTATTGTAAGTAATTTCCTCCTGGCTTTTCTCCTTTATATTATAGCCAGATTATATATGTGTGTGTATGTATATATATTATATATTTAAAATTGTTAAAAGGTCATTCTATCTTTGAGACATTACAAATTATTTGTTATGAGAAGTAGATAATGGGTCTGGAAAAGCGGAAAATCACTGATTCTAGGCCAACTCTCCCATTTGACAGATGGGGAAACTGAAACCCAGAGAAGAGACATGGCTAGTCTCAGGTAACTCAGCAAAGCCAGGGCTAATCAAGGCCATGTGCAATCCAGCCCAGCCCTCACTCCCAGTCTACCTCTCAGTTGCAGCTCCCCGTCCCACTCAGGCCCAAGGCCTTCACTCAGACTGTTCCCTCTAGCACCTCCTCTCTGCTTGTTGTAATCACCCCCCACAAGGATCAATTTCAAGGCTGATCGTCTAGGAAGCCTTCTGGTTGGTCACTTTCCTATGAGATTCTTTAAATTTGTGCCCTCTCCCAACATAGGGCACAGTCTTCTGTGCCCACATCTTCCCAGGAGGGCAGGGACTGGGCACTATCCAGCTAGCCTCTCCCTGTGTGCCCAGTGCATGGGGAACTTTTCTGGAGAGGCTCATAAGTGAAACGGAGCCAGCTTGTGTTACTCTTTGGACAGCCAGCACAGGCTGGGTCACTTGGCTCTCAGAGTCTCATGGACTCTTGTCTGTTTACTCCTCCCTGAGGGAGCTGACGCCCAGTCGGAAGAAGGGGGAACCTGGAAGCGACCCTCTTTAGCATGCATGACCATTTTCAGGCCTGAGCAAGACAGAGGGAGAAAAGGTGGAAAGAAGGAATCCTGTCACCACTTCCTTGGAGCAAAGGAAGGACTCCATCTGGCTTTCTGGAACTTTCCTTACACTTGGTTGGAGCATTACCTCTACTTTAGTCACCTCTATTGGCTGACAGGCTGCACTATGACCAGTCATATGACAAGGTAACACGTTCATACCCTGATTCAGAAATAAAATGCCTCAGTGATGGCGACTGTCTCCAACAGGGAGCAATAGCCAGCCAGCCCAAGCTGTGCTTCTGTGGACACATCCGCTAACAAAGCTGACCATCTGACAGGCCAAGCTCCTTCCATGAGCTATGTCAGGAGTGAATTTAGTTTTGCATTGTACATTTTTCTTTCCTGGTCTTAGAATTCAGGGGCCTGCATGGAAACAATTAGCCCTGTGAATAGAGGGGTCAATGGAAACACAATTCTCTATCCAGGGACATTGAAGAGGGAGAGCCAGGAGAAAGGAGACACTGGATCAGAATGAACTTGTTACCTTGTCATGTGACTGGTCACAGTGCAGCCTGTCAGAACCACAAGGCTCCTGCCACCTGGAATGTAGGAATTCCCACAGTGGGGTCAGGAGGTAAGAGGGGGAGAGGGGTGTAGGAAGTGTGTGTGTGTCGGGGGGGAGCTAGGAAGAGAAGAACCTAATTAGATACAGATGGGGCCGCTCCTCGTGGCTGTGGAGTGTGGGTCATACTCAGGTGTCTATTGCATAGGGTCAGAGCAGGCACAATGCCAAGGTGTGGCGGCAGGAGTTCTGAGTACTCACAGGAACCTGGGCCTTGTATCTGAGGCGCCCAGGGGGATTTGAGGAGACTGGCACACAGTGGATGGAGAACAGCGCTGGCCACTTCCAGTGCCACTGCGAGCGGGGAGGCTGCTCTAGGAGGCAGCCAAGTGGGCGGTCAGGGATCCTGAGGTTGGGCCGGCAGAGGTGAGCCTCAGGGACGGAGGAAATCCTGCGCTGAGCACCAGGTCCTGGGCAGAGAAGCCAGGGACTGGATGAGCGCAGGGCGCACCACTCCCTGGCAGTGGAGGCTGGACTAAGGGGCGAGGCCCAGCATCTCAGAGGTAGGGCTAGGGCGGGACCTGGTGTTCTCATTAGGCAGAAGGCATGGCCTGACTCTTGGAGACTTTTAAGCCCCAAAAGGTGGGCTGAGGGCCACCTCTAGGGCCCCCCACCTCATCATAAACAGAGGGTGCTGTCTTCTGGGCCTCCCTCTCCCCGACCCTGAGGCCAGGGCTGGCAGGAGTTAACAGCCTTCAGATCAGAAAGAGGCCCAGAAGAGGACATGGCAACACCTTTCCTCCCTCCTAGAAGTCAGGCAAGCCCTCCACCCATCCTTATCCTCAGGGGACGTGAGAGACCCAGGGAAACAAATCCAGTCCCCCAGGGTTTACTGAGCTGCTTCCTAGGTCCCAAGACACTGTTTCATAAAAACAAAAAGCAGGCAGCCTGTCTGATCTCCAGGTAGGCCCAGTGTCCATTAAAGCCTTTCTGAGATCTCGAGGTCAAAATGCATTCGGGAAGGAGCATGGACATGGAGGCCCCAGGAAGTGTTTCCGGGCCTTCATTAACCACACACTACAGCAGCCCAACTATCAGAGAAACCCACAGTCCAGCACCAACGCTTGGCAGGGAGTGGCTTGTGCCTCTCTGTTCTCAAGGACAGTGGCTTTGAGCCTGCATAGGCCCAACAGGACAGGAGACACCATCAGCTCTTTCCTCTGGCCAGGCCTTTAAAAAATCTGGTCTCCCCCCTACTCAGGCCCTCAGGTGCACAGTGCTGGCAGTCAAAAACATTTTCACATNCCCCAGGTCTGCCCCCTACTCAGGCCCTCAGGTGCACAGTGCTGGCAGTCAAAAACATTTTNTCCCCCCTACTCAGGCCCTCAGGTGCACAGTGCTGGCAGTCAAAAACATTTTCACATCCACTAGCTGATGGGAATACCACAGCAGCCCCAGGAGCACAAATTACTGTACCCATTTTTCAGAAGAGGAAACTGAGGCTCCAGATACTTCTCTAAGTTCAGTGGTTTGCTTAAGTTGCCACTTGGGGTGGAAGCAGCATTGAAACACGAGTTAAGGTCGTTTCACACACGTTCTTTCCTTTATGTGGCCCCAGAAAGCCTGTTCACAAGACTGAGGAACATTCTGATATTCATGATAATAAATGACAAGCAGGTATCAAGTACTTACCAAGTTTCAGGCTATTATCACAAAGAAATGATTTATTTAACTCTCACACCTGTCCTGGGAGATTAATCACACTTTCCCAATCCCTGTTTTACGGATGAAGTAACAGGCTCAGAGAGGGCAGCCATTTGCCCTGGTCACACAGCTAGGTAGGCAGTGAACATGCTGGCACCCAAAATAACTAGATTCAGATAAGCAGGGGGAGAAGAGAACAGGCCAGGAGGGGGAGGTGGTGGGGAAAAAGGGAGCAGTGTCTGGTGTCCTTGGGACAATGGCCGCCTGGCCTGGCTGGGGAAGAAGCTGATGCCTGGGAGCTGAGACAATCAGGCCAGGCAGTTGGAGAAGGGTTTCCAATGTCAGAGGGGTGGGATGGGTGGTGGGCGGTAGTAAAATGTGAGGTTCCAGAGCAGGGGGTGGGAGGACGGGGAGGAGTGACAGGTGCTAGATGAAGTTCTCAGGTGAGCCAATAGGAGGTCTGAGCTGCAGGGGGGGCATGCAGGAAGCTGCTAGGGTCCATGGGCTAGGCCCCTGGGGGCGCCTGCCCCTCCCATCTGGACACAAAGGGCCTTGGTGCTGGCAGAGGAGCCAGAATGACTTCATAGGCCCCACAGACAAAGGAAGGGGCTGGCTAACCAGGTCACTGTTCTCTGAACTCCCAGGGGCCTCTGTCCTTGGCAGGATGTTTGGGGCACACATTACTCTGCTCCCTCAGCCCCTCTCCTACAGGCAGCTTTTTCTTGGGCAGTGGTTCTCAACTGGGGTGATCTGCCTCGCAGGGGACCTTGGGCAGACTGGAGACATTTTTGGTTGCCACAACTGGGGGCAGGGGGTGGTGCAGCATCTAGTTGTGTTGAGACCAGGGATGCTGCTAAACATCCTACCATGCACGGGACAGCCCCCAACAACAAGGAATTATCCAGCCCCAAACGTCAATAGTGCTGAGGTGGAGAAACCCTGCTCTGGGGCTGCGAGTTCCCACATCCATGTGCTCTCTTGTGAGGAAGTCGGGAAGGGAACACTAGCATCTCCATTTTATAAAGGAGGAAACAGGCTCAGAGGAGGAAGTAGCTCATCTAAGAATCTGTGGCAAGTTGCTTCAGTCAACAAATATTTATTGAGTACCTACTTTATGTCAGGTACTATTCTAATTGCAGAACTCAGACTAGGACTCAGTTTTTTATTCATTCATCATTAGACATTTACTGTGCTGGCTGCTGGGGATATATAATGATGAATTAGACCCAACTCCTGACCCCTTGGAGTTCACAGTCTAGTGAGAGAGGAAGCCATACAGACATTGACAAAACTGTGAGAACAGGAGAACCCAGGACTACCTGGAGAAATCTAGGAAGGCTTCTCAGAGGCATTTATCAAAAGATGTGAAGGAGGCAGGAGTTAATCATCAAAGGTTGAGGTTTATGTAGAGGGTTCCAGGCCAGGGAACAGCCTGTGTAAAAGTACGGAGGAGGGAGAATCTGGCTCATAGGGCCTTGGTTGTCAGGCTGTGAGCTGTGACAGGGATGCAGCAGATGGCTGCTAAGACAAATAGAGCTCTGAGACAATCTGCCTGAGGGGCTTCCCTGGGTCAGTGGCTGGGGCAGGAACAGGACCCTTGGATGTGCTTCTTGCCTCCTTGAGATATGCTGTTTCACCCATGAGTGGCCCTGACCCTGCGGGGTCCCACTGTGGAGGTCCCTCCAAAGGTAGGAGCACATAGACACTCCTGCCTCAGAAGCATAACCCAGAGTCCCACCCAGTCTCCTGGAAAAGGGGCCCTCCCCCCAACTACTGCACCGTTTGTGAATGAGGGCACAGAGCACTGCGAGGTGGCCCTTCACTTCGTGAAATCAGTAATCATGTATCAGGTGAAGCCTTCAGTCACCTACAGTCTCTCTCCATCTTCACTTCTGCCTTCTTCTCCTGGGTCCTTCCCATCAGCCACATATATGCTGTTATTTCTTTTGTCTTTAACAGCTGCTGCCACAATCTCTCTCCTTCCCTTAAAACTCCTTGAAAGTACTGTCTCCATACACTGTCTCCATTTCCTCTCCTCCCATTCTCTCTTGGACGACCTCCAATCAGGCTTTTGCTCCTACTGCTCCACCAAAATCGCTCTTGTAAAAGTCGCCAAAGACCTCCATGTCACTAGATAGAGTCTGGAGAACAGTCAGTTTTGGGTTCTTCTGCACTTGGCGTAACAGCCTTTGCCACCACTAGCCACTCTCCTCCTGGAACCACTTTCTCCACTCGGCCTCCAGGACATCCCAGGGTTCTCTCCTACTTCTCCAGGGACTCGTTCTCCGTCTGCTTGGCTGGGTCACCCTCTTGTCCCTGAGGCCCCAGGGCTCACTCTATCGCATCTACCCTCACTTCCTAGGTGATCTCAGCTGGGCTCATTCAATATGGCCCACACGCCGAGGATGCCAGCCCTGACCTTCTCCCTGTACTGCAGATTTGTCATTCCAACTGCCTTCTCCACATCAGTACTGAGACATCTAGCTGGCATCGCAAACCTCATGCTCACAACTCCATCCTTCCAGTCACCTCTACCAAAATCACTGCAGGCTTCCTCGTCTTCTCTCACACATGAGATCCAATCAATTAGCAAATCCTATTGGCTTTCCCTTCAAAGTATATCCTAAATCCAGTCATCCCTCACCACCTCCACTCTCACCACCCTGTTCCAAGCTGCCATCTCTCATCTGAATTATAGTAGTCTCCTAACCACTTTCCCAGACTCCACCCTTTACCCTCTTCAGTTTCTTCTCAACCCTGCAGCCAGAGGGATCCTTTAAAAACTTCAGCTAACTCATGTTATTTCACCGCTCCAAACCCTCCAATGGCTCCCATCTCATTCAGCATAAAATCTGAAGTATTCACACTGGCCTGCGGGCCCTCATGGTCTGGCCACTGCTCCATCCCTGACCTCCTTACCTCAACTTCCCTTCTCATTCCACTCCAGCCACACTAGCCTCATTACTGTTCTTCGAACATGCTAAGCTCGCTCCTGCCTCAGGGCCTTTGCACTTGCTATTACTGTTGCCAGGAACACTCTTTCCTTGGGTGACTACATGACTCACTCTCCTTCTTCCTTCAGATCTTTACTTCCATGCCTAATTCTCAGAGTGGTCTTCTAACTGGATCTCCTTTCTAAAATCTCTATTCTATCTCAGCATCCCCTGAGCCCCTTTCCTATCCTTTATCATTAACTAATAAACCATGTATTTTATTTATTTATTTACTTTGGTGTCTTTCTCTCTCACACCCTAGGATGTAAGTTCCACAAGGGCAGGGATTTTTGCCTGTTTTGCTCACTGCTATATCTCTAGGACCTAGAATAGTGCCTGGTGTGAAGTAGGTGCTTTATATGAACTGTACTTAGAGAATGAATGAACAAACTGCCCAGGGCATCAGTCTCTTTATCTGGAGAATGGGTATACTAATAGAACCTACCTCCTGAGGTTGTATGAAGATTCATTAAGCCAAGTGATTACGTAGGTCCCCAGCATAGGCTCTGGAACACAGTAGGTGTTCAGCAAGGCACTCTTTTCCTCCTTCAGCCCTGCCCTCTTGCTATGTTTAGAAAAGGGGGCTGGGCTGGGCTGGGCTGTGCACCATTCAGCTTCAGCCCATGATAATCCCTGCCTCTTCCTGGGATCTCCTGTTGAGAGGCAGGCAGGGCCTTACCTGGGTGGATGTCCTGGAACAGGGACTTCCAGATGGTATACTGCAGGGGGCCTGTGTACTTGGAGGTTGGAAAGTCTTCATATGTCAGATTGGTCTCATGGATTTTCCCTTTGAGCCTGGAAGGAGAGCAGGAGAGCAGGTTGCATTGGGGGCTAGATTCCTGTCCCAACACTGGAGCCCTATAGCCACCTTCAGGGCAGCTGACATAGGGTGAGGTCATGTGTGTGAAGTCTGCTGGACCCAGATTCAAATGCCTACTTATACCACTTCCTACCTCTCTAGGTATCAGCCTTAGTTTCCTCATCTTTAAAATGGGTACTGTAATAGCACCTGCTTTCTGGGTTGTGAGGATTACATGGCATAACATATGTAAAATGCTTAGCACAGTGTGTGGTTCATGGTCAACACCAAATACATGATGTTAGCTATCAACCAACAATTAAGTGCCATTATTATTAAAGGTGGCTATGAGACAAGAGAGACCTGGGGTTGAATCCTAGCTCCCCAACACACTAAATGAGGAGCCTTAGTCAACTGATCTACCTTCTCTGTGCCTCAGTTTCTACATGTGTGAAATGGGATGACAGTGGTAACTCCCTTCAAGGGGGCTATTTGTTATATATAATATCCATGTTATTATAAATAATATGCAAATCTGTAATATAACATACATATTATAAATAACACAAGTATTACACTATATTATGTATATATAAATACATAAAACCTTTAGTCCAGGCTCTGGCACACAATAGATGTCCTGTACACTTGATAAAGATTTGAATGAATGAATTCTCTGCTAACCACCCCATCTGCCTCATTCCTACCACCCCACATGGGCCGGGGTGGGGGTACTGACCTCTCAGACAGCGAGGCCACCCCGGCCAGGAAGGTGTGCCGGTCAGTTTCGGCCAGCCGCTCCTGCAGGATCTGCGCCCCCTCCTGCACCTTATGCAGCTGCTGGCTGTAGCGCTGGACTTTCTGCTCGATGTCGGTCAGTGTGCGCGCCGTGTCGGCCTCCAGCTCCTCCAGCATGGCCTTCTGCCGCTCACGCAGCAGCCGGTGCAGCCGCTCGAAGGCCTCGCCGATGGTGGTCCGCAGGCTTTTGGTGGAAGACTGGGGGGACAGTCACCATGGGTTATGTTAAGGGGAGTAGATGGGGTGGTCCCTGGGTGAGAGGAGGAAACTGAGAGCCTTGGCATGTAGGGAGGAAAGGGAGGGAAAGGGCGCGCTCGAGGGGGGAATGGCACATGCAAAAGCATGGTGGTATGAAATGACTGGCATGGCCAGGCACAGCAAATGATTCTGTATGCCCTGTTAGGAAACTAACGAGATGGTCCCGGTGAGACAATGAAGCATAAACTAGAGGATCAGCAAGGGACATGGCTTAAAGGACATTTAGGGTGTCAAAGACATCTCTGACGGACTGGCTGCACGTGAGAAAAGCGTGAGCATGATGTTCAGACTTTTAATTTAGGGGTCAGAGGGATGGGAAGCTGGGTGATGAGGTGGGAAGGAAGCTGGGGAAGGGGCTGGAGGGAAGGAAAAGGTGTTGATTTCAATCTGCGAAGTCTTTATTTTTGAAAAGAACCACTCATGGGCTCAAGCAAAATGACAAGGAGATGAGAGATATCAGAAGCTTTAGAAACAGCAATGTGCTGGGCAAACCTTGGTGGTCTCTCACCCTGTCCCGCCACAACTGAGACCCTCTGGCCGAGAAACAAGAGCTGGAGGTTAAGGCCGTTATCAGAGGAGGCAAGTATGGACTTTTGTGGTTCTCTCTGCCCCCACGGGCATGCCAGGCCCAGGAGGGGGTTGAGAGGTGAAGGGCACAGGCTTTTGCGCCCACCAGTCTGGGTAAGGATCCTAGCTCTGGGCCTTTAGTATGGCAACCTCAGTTGCCTGATATCTGCAAACCTCAGTTTTCTTATCTGTGAAAAGAGTAAGACAACTACATTGCAGGGTTATGGTGAAGATTAAATGAGGGAATGTTCACAAAATTCCTGGCATTGTTCGAGGTGCAGAGAAAAGGCCTGGTTATTAAAAAGGCATCAGCTCTAACAGACACATCCTAGCAGTTCATTGAGAGATGGCTTCTGAGCTGCAGCCTGAAGAATGAGCAGGATGTCAGTTGCGGGTGAGAACAGGAAGAGGGAACAGCACGAGTCAGGATGACACACCCGGGACACAGAAGTGCGGCCAGGCTGCAGCAGTGTGTGGGGCCTGCCTCCGCGATTTTACTTTGTGGGATTCTGGCTGGGAGTTCACAGAGTCAGGGACCCTGCTGTGTGCCGTGCCCAGGGCTCTGTGGGAGGCTTGACAAAGCCGCAATTAGGGCCGGTCCCCTCGCTGTCTCGGCTGTCGGCCTGCAGGAAGAACAGCTGGCAGTGGGCCAGCCTCCCTGCGCATGCCCACCCAGAGCGCCAGGCAGACAAAGGGTGGAGGGGAGGCTGCGGAGGATCAGCCAAGCTGCCGGGGCCTCCCTGAGCCCCTCACCGAGGGAGGGCAGAGGCTTCTGGGGCAGCAGGTCACAGATGGAGGGGATGGGGCCTGTGCTTCCTGCACCATCTGCCGCTGCCCTCCAAAGGTCCCCAAAGCCCTCGGCCACCCCTTTGAGTTCCTCCTCAACCACACTGCAGCAGCATTTGGCCCACTGGCCACCCTCTACTAATGGAAAGCTTTGGTTTGCCTTACACCGCTGTGGCTGCTCGCTCTCTAGGGCTTGTCCAGGCCAGCTCCTCCCATTCTCATCCCACATGCCCTCCATCATCTCCGGCTCTCCCTGCTTTGAGGATGGCTCCCACGTGCTTATCGCTGGCCTTGCATATCTCCTGAGCACCACATTCGTCTTTCCACCTGTCTCCTCCACACCTACCCCTGGGATCCCACAGGCCCCCCAATTCATTCAGTCCAAAGTCAACTCTGTGTCCTGGCCAACGAACTCGCTGCCAGAGTGATCCTTCTAACGCGTAAACTGGGTCATATCCAATCCTGAGTTTAGGAACCTTTCTTGGTTCCTTGAGGACTAGTAAACTGCTACATCCCTTAGCTTGAAATTCAAAATCCTCAATTCATCCCAGCTTGCCTCTCTAGTGCCGTTGCATTGCAATTCCATCTGCCTAGAATGGACATCCCAACAGATGGTTTATTCAACTGGCAAACTCCTACTTATCCTACAAGACCCAGATCAAAAGCAATCTCCTCTGCGACACCTTCCTTAACTTTTTCAGGCAGTGAGTTACATGTTCCCAGAGCATTTTGTAAATATTTCTTAGTACAACGTCCCACATTTTATTTGGCTCCCAGCTAGTAGATCAACCTCCCATCCCATGGAATGATGTCTTCTTCAGCTCTGTCCACCCTGTGTCCATTCCAGGGCCTGGCACAAGGCTGGGCAGTCAGGACCTGCCTGAGAGGTGAAGGAGGGAAGGTTCTTGCCCAAGATTGCTCTGCAAAGGTGGGTGTAGACCCCATCTTATTTTTAGAGTGGGAACCCAGTGCCCCCAGGACAAGAGAGGATGGGTAGGGAAAGTGGGAGAGACAAGGAGAGGGTAGCTCAGAAATGGAACATTAGAGTGGCAGCTACCCCAGGAGACCCAAACATATTTCCTGACCTACCTGGCTTGCTGACTACAAAGCCAGAGATACTGCTGAGGACACCCCAGCATGAGGCTGGAATGTGCACTAGGCTCTGACAGAATTGGACAGTAAGCTCCCAATTGGCCACTTATTAGCTCAGGTCAGTTTGTGTCAACCTGGGTCTCAGTTTCCTTGCTGATAAAATGGAGATAACAGTTCCTACCTCAAAAGGTACCTCCCTCCGCTCATTTGTTCTGTAATTATTTACTGTATGGGGGACACTGTGCTAGGTCTGGGGAGTCCTGCTGTCATGGAGATGACATTCTGTGGGGCTCAGCGAGACAATGAATGGGAAACAATTTCCAGCAGAGAAAGGTTTAGCCTAACTGGTGTGTCCCAGTTACTTTAGTTCTTTATATGGCAGAGCCACCCCCACCTCACTCCCAATCCCTTTGGTGCTGTGGCTGGGAAAGCAGCCCCCACCCCAGCCCACCACATCCCTGGGAACACACTGGGGCTTGGAGGAGCTGGGGCCATTTCAGAAAAACACCGTGCCAAGAATGCATCACTCAGTCAGGGCCGACCAAGGAAAACACTGGGCCCGGGGAGAGAGGTCAGACAGGCCCTCAGGCTGGGCTATTGGAGGAGCAGGCGCCGCAGGAAAGCCGAGTCAGGCACCAGGTGAAATATGACCTCCAAAGCATCCATAGGCATTTCTTATATAAACACCCCAGTCCAGACAGGAAGCAGGGCTGGGGGAACTGGAGGGGAAGGTGGCCCCCCAGGACCTCCCAGAGGTAGACAGATGGACAGGAAACCATGGGAGGAAGAGGTCAGTGGAGAAAACAATGGGGGTTGGTGGTAGAAAAAAGAAGAGAATGCTGGGAGGAAGAAGCAAACCATAACGTTTCCCCCTCATCCAGATAGAGGCTTCCATTTGCTTCTCTTTTCCTGAGAGGTATATAAGCACAAGGCAGATGGGGAAACTGAGGCTGTGAGAAGCAAACAGGCCACAGTCCTGTGACTGTTTCTCATCTGTTGCCCGCAGAGTGTCCTGCCCAGAGTCCCTCTGGAATGTTCTATGAAGAAATGTTTGAGACCCCACAGCAGGTTGCCATGCTGGGGCACAGATCTGGATCTCCAATGGCCTCTCAGAGCCCCAGTGTGCCCTCCAGAGGCCCGTAGCTTTCCTAAGGCTCTGCTCCAGCTGCTGCTGGCAGTGCCACTCCTGCTAACAGAGTGGAGCCCGACTGAAATCACCCGAGAGCTTAGCAGCTGGGCCTGGGTCCCCAGTTCTTGGTCCCAGAAAGACAGGACAGAAATCAAAGCAAGCCTTGCCCAGGTAATGAGCTATCTGTGAGGAGAACTAGAGGGAGCTCCTTAGCATTGTGCTAGGATCCAGAACTTCAGGGCTGGAAGTAGCCTGGCAGAGACCCCACTGTAGAGATAGGAACTCCAGGGCCCCAAAAGTATGCCGTTTACCCAAAGTCATACAGTGAGTGAGTGGCTGCATCAGAATTCACAGCCCTCCTCTCAGGTCAAGAAAAAGGCTTTTTCTTTTAAACCATTGTAGCCAGAGACTGCAGGGTTTGACCCTATTTTCCAGAGTCCATGATCCCATGGACTGAGTTTGAGATGGGAGATGATACCAGGGTTGGCCCACAAATCATCAGCAGAGCTTTAAGGGAAGATGCTCAGGGTTGGCTCCTCATGCAATAGGTGTGTTTAAAAATGCAAGAGAGGAAAAGACCCTGCAGGGAGCAAGGGTTTTCCCCAGGGTCCTTGGTCTCAACTTCCACACAAAGCAGGAAGGGAGAAAGGGACCCACCTATAATCCACGCACTAACCCAAATCCTTGCCCTCAGCCACCCTGGATTAAGTCCCACATCGTTTACTTTTGCTGAAGCCTGGACCTCAGTTCCACCCCACAGCCCCACTCCTCCACAGGGAGTTAGGTGCCCCGAAGTCCCGCCCCCCAGCAGGCCCGAGTCTCCGCCCCTCGCTTTCCCCGCTGGTCCCGCCCCCGCGAAGCCCCGCCCACCTGGCCAACTCCACCCTTGTCCCCAGGCCGGGCTCACCTTGGTCTCTGCGAGCTGTCGCTTCAGCAGCTGCAGCGCCTCTGTGTGCTCTCGTTCGCTGTCCTGCAGGGCCTGAAGCTGCTCCTTCAGCTCCCTCTGGAGAAAAAAAAAAGCCCCAATTTACAAGTGTTTGCCAGTTTCTGTGATGTAAACGTTCCCACCAAAGCCGGGTTCAAGCTATCAGTGTGAGGTCACAAGACAAGGGGCTAGGAAGAGGTGTGCAGAGTCAGCTCTCAAACAGGTGCAAGCTGGCTCCAGCACACCACTGCCTGGGGTTCTTTCCTATAGGCTTGTGTGTGTGTTTGTGCACATTTCAAGTGCTCCATAGCCACATGTGACTAGTAGCGACTAGTGGCTACTTGCATTATTCTAGAAAGTTCTACTGGACAGTGCTGCTCTAGATGCACTAAGCACCTTGCAGGCTGTCCTCCAGGCCTTTGCACTTGCTATTCCCTCTGTCTGGAATGCTCACCCACATTTTTCTCCACTTGTTAGGCTCATACTCATCTTTTAAGGCCTAGATCAAATACCACCACTGAGAATCCCTCTTAAACTCTTCATACTGTCCTGAGACACTCATCTTTGAGTAGTGCCCTTTGCTTGCACCACTATGGCACACACGGCATGTTAACTGCCAAGTTACCTGTCAATCTTCCCCACAAGATTCTGGGTTCTCAAGGGTCGGGACTGTGTCTGATAGATTTTCATACTCTCAGTACCTAGGACAGGGCCAGGCACAGAGTGACTTGGGTATGAATCTGACCAGGGAAGGGGCTGGGCAGGTCAGAGCTCACCTCTGAAAGGGTGGGAGGGGAGAGAGGGCCCCAAACAGGCAGCTCTCTCCAGGAGGGCTACAGCACCTGGGGGAACAGCTAACAGGAAGCCCAAACCCTGGAACTCACATGGCAGGACCTCCGCCCCCTCCTCCCCTGGCCCTTCCCACGAGTCTCCTTCTAGGCCTGGGGCTGGCTCTGCCACACACTAGCTGTTACCTTGGGCATGTCCCCTAACTTCTCTGTGCCCCAGTCCCTCGCCTACGAAATGGGAATAATACCTTCTAGGGTTGGGTGAAATGAGATAATAGTAAGAAGTGTTTAGCCTCATAGGAAACCACAAGCCAGGCATGTGTTGTTTATTTAATATGAAGTAATATGTTTATCCATCTGTGTTTCATTAATTCAATTTCTAGTTAAAATGTTATAGAGGGGAAAATAAGGAAAATGTACAGAATTTGTACTGCTCTGAGGACACAGACATAGGCAGAGCTTGGCACACACTGAGTGCTCAGGAGATGGAGTGGTCATTATGTCCCACATGAGGCTTCTGCGTCACTTCATATCCTCACCCCTTGCTGTTTCCAGGTCCCTCCCAGCCTCCTCAGGCAGCCAGAGCAGGAAGGCGCCCCAGGGACCATTTGATCCAATGCCCTGGATTTTTAGAACAGGAAATTAAGGTCCAAGAAAAGGGACTGAGTGACCCACGGCCATGGACTGACATAAGAGAACCAGCCAGACTCCCAGCAGAGGCAAACAGGAAACATGAAGCTATTGATAAACTAAGTGATAGAGCTAACTGGGAGGAAGGACAATGGCAATGCCAGAGCTCAGGACCAGGAGGGCTGAAGGTGGCATGATTTGGGTTTGAATTTCACAGGCGTCATGTCACCTAATTCTCACAACAAGCTCACGAGGTTGGTGCCTTGTCACCTCCATCTCACAGAGGGGGAAATGGAGGCTCAGAGAGGCCAGGCAGCTGGCCTAAAGTCACACAGCTTGTAAGGGGCTCTGAGTGACTCCAAAACCCTTGGTTGCTCTGTCTCCCACTCAGTTCAACACAGCCATCATGCCTGGTCACCCATGGTCAGGCTTTGGGCCAGCCCCTCAGGGGCTATTGACACAGTCCTTGCCCTTGAGGAGTCTGCACGTAGTCGGGGAGGCAGAAACTAACAAGGGAGAACGGAAGAAACATGGAGGGACCACCTAGGAATCAATGCAGCTGGCTGCCACCACTCAACTGTGTTTGTGACACCCTCCCTCCACCTCAGTTTCCAAATCTGTAAAGTACAGCTCATCACAGCGCAGGCTCTGTGGTGTTGAGGATTAGATGACTTAATTCTCAACCTCACTCAATGCCCAGGATGTGCTGTCACTCTTAGCTGTTGTCATTATTGTCATAATAATTAGTTATATGTCAAATAGAGACTCAGACCTGGGGAGCTTCCAGGAGAGTTTGTTTCTGATGGATAGATGAGCAAGGTTCCTTCAAGTCTCCAGGGTGGGGTCCGAACATTTCATGCAGAGAGAACTAGTCAGGCAGGGGCACACCTGGCTGTGCAGGAAGTGGGGGACAGTCAGGGATGGCTGGAGCCAAATATGTGGCAGGGGGTAGAGTCACAAGCTGGAAAGGCCATGGGGCTAGCTCCATTGAGGATGCAGGATGGAGAAGGCCTTGAAGGTCAGCCTGGGGGAGCTGGACTCTGCAGGGGCCCATCAGAGCTGGGGCAGGGCAGAAAGAGGGGACTTGAGGATGCACCTGCAGAAGGCAGAGCCACAGTTCTGCAGCTCTTCCTCTGGAGAAGGGACAGAGTCAGGGCTGGTGCAGATCGTAGAAAGAACTATGCAAATATGTCAGCCGAGGCTCTGAGGCTCGCATAGGTTTGGAGAAGCCAGGACTGGGACAGCAGCTGCAGCGAGGACAGAGAGCCAGGGTTCACATGTCCTCAAGGCCAGACCTCCCCTCCTGAGTGGCCACCCCTCTCCCAGCCCAGAGAAGTCAGGAAGCCATCTCTCCTCGACTTCAGCCCCCTCACTGATCAGTGCAGCCCAGTGGAGATATGAACACTGGCATCAGAAAGGCCTGGGTTCAAATCCCAGCTGCACTTCTTTCCTTTCTCAGGGCCCACCTCTCAGAGTTCTACCTGTCAAATGGGGATAAGAGCCACTCACAGGGTTTGATGAAGATTAAATGAGACCGTACCTATGAAAGGGCCCAGCACGGTGCTGGCACATCGTAGGTGCTCAAGGCTCTGGGACTGCTCTCTCTTCCCTTCTCTGACCCAAGGATGCCAGAAATCTTAATAAGGCAAACTGAACTTGCCTGCCTTTTTTCCTTTCCTCCCAATCCCTCTTGCTGCCCAGAACTCCTGATGCTCCTGCTCCTGCTGACAGACCTGAACTCCTGTATATTTTCTCTACCTTTGAGCCCCACCCCTCCTTGTCCACTTGGGCTCTCCCACCAGTCCACCCTGAGCAGATTGGACCAGGCCACACTTGCCTGCTCAAACCCATTCCTGGCTCCCCAGCATCTCCAGAATCAAGTCCAAGCTCCTTGGGCTGGAGGATGGTGTATTGAAGGTCCTTCTTGAGCTGGTCAAGCTTCACTTTCCCATTCCCACCTCCCCCCGTGTACCCTCTCCTCCAGCCGCATGTGCTGGACATGTGCTCACCACCATGTGTGTCCCTGGTCAGACTCGGGTAACCTGAGTCCGAGTTCCAGCTTCAGTGACACTTAGTGGTTGTACTTAGGCACAATTTTTAAGCCTCAGTTTCCTCATTTGGAAAATGGAGCGATGAGATCCAACTCATAGGGTTGCCCTGTGAATTGGGCCAGGGCCAGAGCTCATTCATTCCCTCCTGGGCCACCCACAGGCCTTGGCCTCAGTATCTACAGCAGGGGTGTCAACTGAGGAAATTACTGAATGAATCTCTGAATCCAAAATAGAACCCACCTCCAAGT